ACTACTACTACTACTACTACTACTACGACTACTACTACTACTACTACTACTACTACTACTACTACGACTACTACTACCACCACCACGACTACTACTACTACTACTACTACTACTACTACTACTACTAGTACGAGAACTACTACTAGTACTACTAGTACTACTAGTATACTACTAGTACTACTAGTATACTACTAGTACTACTAGTACTACTAGTACTACTAGTACTACTAGTACTACTAGTACTACTAGTACTACTAGTACTACTAGTACTACTGCTACTACCACTACCACTACCACCCTGTGCTGCTGCTACTACTATTACTACTACTACTACTACTACTACTACTCCTACTAGTACTGCTCCTGCTCTTGATCCTGATCCTGCTCCTGCTGCTGTTCTGCTGTTCTGCTGCTGCTTCTGCTATTGCACCACTACGATTAAGGCATACTAGGATAACATAGGCTGCCGCATCTGCATCAGATAGTAGCTACTGATAGAGAGTGCCGCAACAAACCACCAAGTAAACAGAACGACACGGCAAAGGCACATGCAAGCGACTTCGCCGTCTGAAGCTGTCGAGCGCATGCACCGCTTGTCGCTGAGGTGATGACGGAAGTGGCGCGGGATCCCTCTTCTGGACCTGGCATGGCTGATGCTCCATCAACCTTTAACTGCTACTCCCTGGCACTGCAACGGCCTGCTGTCTTGTCATTCCAGTAGGCCATAGCCTCACTCAGGGAAAAAAAGATGCGAAAAACCTGATCCTGCTGTGGAGCGCCTCTGCGCCGGCGCCCCTGTCGGAACAGAACCAAACTCGCAGAAAAGACAGAGACGAAACAGAGCTTCGTGATTTTGTGGGAGACGGCGCTCCTTGTCAGGTCGCGCTCCGCGAAGAGCTGCACGTGCGCGCGGTAGAGCTCCAGGCCGTCCACGGTTTCTTTGCCTCGGCTTTTACGACGCTTTCCATATGTCGAGCCGTTGAAACATGCTCAAAGCTCCAATGCATCTGAGACTTGCTGCTCGTCTTGAGAATGCGAAATCGGCCTCCGCTGGCAGACAGCAGCTGGACCTGGGGTGCAACTAAGCGACATGACAGCGAAACTGGCAGAGCACCAGAGCACCCACCGGAGCCTGAGAGCCAGATCCATATCCTGGCACATGGTGTTCTGATTCCTCTCCAATCCAACGGAAGTCCTTCCGAGCCAAGGGGCGAAGGCAGAACTCTTATCGAACCGAACCCACCACTGGACCACTAGACTCTTGCACTGCAAACTAACCTGCAGCTCCCTCGTGACTGCTTTGAACAAGGCTGGAAGAAGGTCGGCTACATAGATGTCGCTGTGGAACTGTTGTACGAGAATGAACCGGTCCTCCACAAGTGCAAGGACTCCCGACGTCCCTTCCCGGGGTGGGTAAGACCTGTCGCTGCATGCGGCACAGCCCACACGCTTTAGATCCCACAGCACAAGCTGCGAAGAGCTGGGGTCCGGTGCTCAGCGTAGCCGAACTGTTTGTTCGAGGCGAGGATCCTCCGAGCCACGTCCTAGAGTCAGCTCCCACCATACTGTGTGTTCTTCACCCTCTGTCAAATTCAGCGTTACTACCCGTCAACTGCTCCCCTCAACAGGCAAAACCCCATGCTCCGCCCGATGCTCCCGATCCCTGGTCTGAAACAACCCCCAAAACTCACTGCAACAAGCGTGCACATGCCACGTCAGGGATGCAAGTACTTTGTGGTGGTAGGGGGGGAAAGGCCTTACTGACAAAGTCTGCATTCCTGAGCCTCTGACTACATACTGCCTCTGATACAAGCTCAGGGCGAGCTTGCCTTCGCTGTTCCTCAGGTGTTGGCAGTTGCCATCAAAATGTCACGCTGCTTCAAACTAGCGCTGGGCTGCGCCACAGACGGTTAAGCACAGGGCATGACCGAATGCCATGGCTGGCCCAAGCTGAAAAGTGGCAGGCCAGGCAGCCGCAGGCCGCGTCGCACAATGCGGGCCATGGATGGGCAACATGTTGAATGTGCAAGCGTGCAAATATGATGCCGTAGATTGATCAACAGCGTGGGTCTCGAATGTATATCCAAATGTCTCGTTTTGCTTTTTAACTACCCAAATCATCCAGAAACAGATATGGAAACATCTACTGCACCGTGAAAGCAGGCTGATGTGCCGGACTGTCAGGAAAGCTGTCGGCTGGCACACAGGTTCACGTTCTGCATCCAGGGCAATGCACCAAGTCCTAGCAGAGACCGACGCTTTCTCTGCCCAGCCCCAGGCCTTCATCAAGAAGTGCCCGCAAAACATCTAACTCTGCTCGCAGACCTCCAATGAGATCCGAAGAGCGCATCCGAAGTGTAAAAGAAGTCCCACGCCTTCGATCTCGGAACGTAGTGCTCCAACCTTGGTCCCGGGCATAAAGCCGCACCCATATCACCCCTCTCTGCATGTGCGACGCATTTCCTACTGGCCTTTGCCCAAAACACTCCATGAGCGAACATCCTCATGCTGTGAGTGTGGTCGTGCTGGTTTCCTCCTGATGCTGGTCGGGGCGGTCCTGGTCGTCCTGGTCGCAGTGGCCGCCATTGCGGGCTTGCTTGTCTTGGTCGTCTTGCCAAGGTGCTCCATCACAGTTTGGGGATCTCACTGGTATCATGAAGAGCATCGGGTATCGACGTCACGAAGTGCACAACGTTCCCGTGGCGCAGCGCAGACTTTAAGCTCGCGTCATCGTATTTACAAGGACCCGCTCGAAACCGTCTTTCGGAGAACAGTTTTCACTGTTACTCAACCTATATCTGCTATGTTTTGGCCTCAGAACCTAATGTATCGCGCCAGTATTTTGGGGGAAAGCATTTTGGATGTCCTCCTGAATGCAGTGTATGGGGGAAGCATACGCCTCGTGCTGGTGAATCGTGACAATATTTGCAGCTCAGTATTGGTGGGAAAACATTCTGGCAGCGGTCTTGATTCCGCCAATACCTTGGGGAGGAGAGGTTTGGCCGTGGTTTACTGGTGGTCTCCTGATGGCCCTGTGGTGGGCTCCTGGCGGTGGTTCAGTAAATTACCTTGCACAGTTCAAGCGTCTTCATCCCCGACGGCACGAGACACTGCTTGTTTTTTACAACAGTGCGAAAATGCCAGGCACTTCAAGTTGGAGATTCCAATTCACAGAGAAACGAACTAGAAAGAGAGGCCGAGACACAGAGACACACACCGCCAGAGACACAACTAGACGAAGCAACAAACATGTTAGCTCAGAAAGCACAATGCCGCACATAGAAATTTCAAAAGCAAAACAGCGAATGCAAACACTTACAAACAAACATGGGGTCAGGGCCAAACAGCGACTCAACATCACTTCTAGAGAAGCCACATCAGATCTCAGTGCTAGGGGCTATGCCGTCGCATCACCAGCACTTGCAGCAACACTGCCATCGCTTGTAGTGGCAAGCCTCGGTTGTACTGCGAAACAGAAGCCTAACCCAGTACCCCCAAAGCTGCTTTAGGCAAGGTGCTGCGTACAGCCAGATGCTGCAGAGTGTTCCTGCGTGCCGAGCAAGGTACTTGGTGGTGAACAATGGGGCGCTGGGGCCTCACATGTCCGCCCTGTCGCCTCCCAGACAATCACTCTGCTTCACTCGCAAGGATTAGAAGAGGCCAGGCTACTTTAACAATGTCGCTGAAAGCCTCAGTCGATAAACTGGCACCAGCATGAGTGGAACCTCGGCATGAAAGCTGCTGCGGTCTTACGCAACAGACTGCCAAGTACCAAGACCAGCGCCGGAATGGTCTGACGAAAGCTTAACCGGCAGGGTCACGCCTCAGTACTTCCATCAACACATCGTATGATGCGCTGCGTTACCAGGCACCAAGCCGCATGTACTGATCGGGATATGGCTTCTTTTGATACCGGAGCTGCATTCCCGCGGGGCTCTCAAGGGCCCTAGCTGTTCACGCCTCTCGCAGTCAGCTGCGGGGCCTCGGAGCGTTTTCAGTTGGACACTCGGGCGGAGTTGCCACACTTTGCCCTGCTCTCAAGAGTCCAACTTCCGGCATCGGTGGGCAGAACGAATTCGCTGCCCTGCCACACATCGACACAGAATACGAGCAGCGAGATGCAGAAAGCAATAATGTCGAAGCTCCTCATGGATGATTCGCTGCACCATCGATTGGTGTTTAGTTTTCTGCATGTGCACATCTCTGACCATCACTGCAATTTGAAAGTCATGCATGAGGATTGCGACATGGAGCGCGATGCAACTCCATGCTTTCAAAGCCAAGTTTAACATAATTCAACACATCTAGAATTGGTTAATCGATTCAAAAGCCGCCCCGCTTCCCGGTGGCCCTGACAGATTTTGAAGTCAAGAAAACGTCAAGCAAAATGTATTGAAATCATGTACACAAGGAAAACTCCGGCAGTTGCCGGGGAAGTAAGCTCATTGTGACAATGCGATAGATCAAGACACGATAACATGGCAGGCTGCATTTAGCTTCAAAAGCACTATGCTGTACTGAATCGGTAATGCACACATATCGTTTTGCGAAATGTGTTCCGTCGTCATAAGGCACAGTACGTGGGTATGTCCAAAGCTGCATTTCATGGGAGTGTGTTGCACGTTTGTCATGAGCCTAGCAGCTGGAACTGTGGGTTTTCATCGTATATTATGTATCTTTCCAGGAAAATCTTTCGGGTATTCTGCGGAAGCGCCGGACTGCGTAAGTACGAGAAAACCAGAAATTGGTTGAGATACAGGCCAGTGTTCCTTGACACTTGAGCAAGGTCCGGGGTTGTGGCGAGCGACTGCTGTCAGGCAAATGAACACATGAACGCATAGCAAACCTTTACACAGATGGGGTTGATCGACGCAAGTGTGAAAGTCCATGAAACAATCTACACATACCAGAAACAACCAATAACAACAATCGACATATCAAAATATGCATGGCATGCAGACTTAGCGATGAAAGCAGAGCTCCACCCAAGGATCGTTTCAAGGAGTCAACTCGACACTAGCGAGGTCTGCGAAACCCAGCGGTTCTTCACGTGCACCTGCATTGCTTGTCTGATGCGTCTGTGGCGGGCATGAACTCGGGCTGCCTTCTGAGTGGTTTGGTTGTTTATATTTCGTCTCTTCCTCTTCCTTTTGATCTCCGTTTAAGCTCGACTCTTGACGCCCTTATCCAACGCGGAATCTGATAAGCGTCGGCGTCGGGTGACGAAGGGGCCACTCCTTGCCACTAGAGGCTGTTAAGAGGCTCGACAAAGGTAACAGGGACACTGCTGCAAATGAGGATGTCAAGAATATCAATGCCAGAAGACATGAAGGGGACATTTTTTGCCAACACCAGAAGAGAGCAGGGGACACGCCTTGAGATTGAGAATTTCAACAGAATCAACACCAGACTCACCAGAACAAATGAGGGTGACACTCCTTGCGATTGAGGATTTTAAGGGCTTCAGCGCCGGAACAGATGAGGCGGACACTACTTGCGATTGTGGATTTGAAGAGGGTCATCAGAAAAGGTGCGCGGAGCACTGCTTGCGATTGACGGTTTGAAGAGCAACTGCTTGCGATTGAAAGTTTTCCAGAGGAACATGGCCCAAAAAAGATGATGCATACACCGCTGCTAATGAGGGGTGATCGTTTCAAGAGCATCAACACCAGAAGAGATAGGGCGGCACTGCTTGCAACTCCGAATATCGATCAGAACGTCGCCAAACAAGATGAGGGGCACCGTGCTTGCGATGAAAAAATGTGAAAACTCAAGAGGGTCAACACCAGAAGAGATGACGCGGACACCTTTGCGCAAAAGCGTGTTCGAGAGCATCGTCGCCAGAAAGGTACCCCTTGGGCTTGAGGTTTTCTGAAAAGTCATGGCCGAAGAAGGATGAGGGGGACACTGCTTGCGATTCAGCTGACCAGATAATAAGGGTTTGCGATTGAGGTGTTCGAGAGAAGAGATGAGGCGGGGACTCCTTGCGAATCGGGATTCAGCATCCACAGAAAATGTGAGGGGGTGACTACGTGCGATTGGATGTTTCAAGAGGATCATTGCCAAGTAAGATGAAGGCGACACTGCCTGCGATTGGGGATTTCAGTAAGCATCATCACCAAATAAAGTAAGGTACACACCACTTGCGAATGAGGGCTTCAGGAGGATCATCACCAAAAGGGACGAGGGGGACACTGCTTGCCATTGAGATTCTCCAGAGGATCATCACCACCAGAAATGACGGGACGCTGCGCTCGATTGAAAGCTTTCCAGGTGAAAATCGCTGAAGAAGGTGAAGGGGACATCGCTCGCGACAGAGGATTTCAGGAGCACCATCACCAGAAAAGGCGAGGGGGACACCCACCCAGCCAACCACCCAGTGCATTGGCATAGCTGAATATGGAGCCCGCTCCCACATGTAAACTTATCAAGTTATTCAGTTCTCAGAAAAGGGTCCTGCAATTTTCGAAATAATGTCTGAAATTACGACTTTTATCCCCTTAGGGAGCCCATTCAATGTTTGAAATTCTGAAATGGTTGAAACAACTGATATCGACCCCGCACACAATCTTAAACTAAACCCATTTTGTTGGTCTCAGTTGTCGTCCTGAGCAGCCCCACTTGAGATAAGATGCGTGCAGACAACGCACGAGAGACCATCCTTGACAAAAGAAGCATGCAAAAAACCAATAAACAAGTTGTTAGGTTCAGATCCTAAGCAGTCTTGGTTGAAATAAATAGTTAAATAGGCAATGCAGAAAACACATGTTGCTAGCCTACTTGAGATAAAAAAACTCTTTGTTCTAAGAAAGAAGCAGACAAGCTAGAGGAAACACTCTGTTAGTCTCAATTCTTGTCCTGAGCAGTCCTACTTGAAATAAGAACCGTGCAAGCGTGCAACAATGCAGAAAGCACACATTTTGTCAGTGGTAGTCGTCCTCAGTAGTCTTTACTTGAAATAAACAGCAGGCAACAACAACTGAGACTAGCAAAATGGCGGGCTGCTTCTATCTTGTCTACATCGCTTTTAGTGCAAGCAGGACACCTGAGACTTCACAAAACGGATGTTTTAGCTCGACTGCATGCATCTTGTCGCCGAGAAGATTGTTGAGGACGACAACCGCTAACAGAATGGCTTCCTGTGTTGCTTGCACGCTTCTTATCTCAGGTAGGACAAGTCACGACGATGACTGAGACTGACAAAAGGTTTTTTCCTGGTGTTCAATTAATTATTCCCCATAGACCCGAGCCTAAAAACCTCAAATCCCGAAACCCTAAACCCAGAAAACCCCAAACCAGAAACCAAAAACTCTAAGCCCTGAACGCAGGAATCCTGAACCCGGAAGCTGGAAACCCTTAAACCCTAAAGTCGCAGAAACCCTGAACCCCAAAACCCTAAATCCAGAAACCCTAAACCCATAAATCCCGAACGCAGACAAGCCCTACATCTGCAAACCGTAAAGAAGAAACCCTAGGCCCCTATACCCATCAACCGTGAACCCAGAAACCCTGTAAACTTAAACTCTGGGATGGAAGCTTATAGGGTATAGGGTGTGAGCTTCCGAGGAAGAGTACTTTCAAGCATAGACAAGCCAAAGCCCGCCGGAACGCACTAGTTAGGAGTCCACATACATTATTTACTGGATAGTCGAATGGGGGTGGTTGCTGATGGATATTTGGCCAAAACCCTTCGACTTCAGGAATGCCTCGTAGTTCAGTTTTCAACTACAGTAATTGAGTTGTGTAGTTCCGCGTTTTGACTGAAATGAATAATTCAACCAGAGCACATAAACTAAAGTAACTAAATCATTTACATCCTGGGCTCGCTCCACCAGGCCCGGGGCCCCCTCCCTTCCCGGGCTTAAATCATCTCTTTCAAGTTCTTCCTGGTTTTGGCCGGACATTGCCGCCGGAAATGGAACAGTTCCAAAAAAATGTGCAAAAGTTCAATACTGAAATCCGGATTGGGGGTCCGCCGGCCCCCGACACTTTAAACGACACAACACATGCTCGGGATGCCCTTGGCTTGCGGGAAGAACCTGCTGTGCCGGCTGGGCCGGATATGCTGCCGCCACCTCTGCTGCCATTTGTCATGGGACCACCGGACCGCGTTCCGGCGAAGCGGCACAAAGAGTGTGCTGCGCAGCGCCTTCGCGGAAGCCGCTGGAGTCCAGCTCGCCCTGAGCGGTGGGAACTCAATGCAAAACACGTCAAAGCCAAGGCCCAAGGATTCGACGCCGTCGGGGCCTGGGGCAACATGCCACAAGAACCTGCGCTCGCCTAGCAAGCCTGCGCCTTGGCAGCTCTGAGCTTCCAACTGATACAGACCCAGTCCCAGCCGAAGCCACCATCCTGAACTCATTGCATTGCCTCTTGGCAAAGCGACAAAAAATCCCTTCCTCTGCCCTTTCATCAACGGGCTCGAAGGGACGGCGGTGAGCATGGGCCCCAGTCCTGCGCAGCAAACAAAGACACTCCAGCCGAAATCTCTCAAGCCCCCAAGCCCAAGCATTTACGATGATTTACGGCTGTCTGCAGCCTACTGGTAAGAAGTAGGGACTGCAAGATGTTTTCAAGGTCCCGGATTACAGCTGGTCACCAGGTCATCTTTGGGCTCCAGCTGTCTAATTCATGCAGGGTCTTCGCCCTTCAGTTGCGGCAGGTGTTCCCTGAGAACACACCATACGAGCCGAAGAGCCGAAGCTACAGATGCCAGATATGCAGGCCATATGCAGCCCACGATGCTGTCCTCCTTCGCGGCTTGCACCGCGCACCGCCTGCGACATCTGAACCACGGCCTCACACATGCACACAACTCGTGAAAAAAAGCAAGCACTACGAGCAAACTACCAAAACTGACGAATCAATCGAGATGAGTGTGCAGACTACGAAGGAAGCGAAAACGGTTGCAACACCAAAGGTAATCGCCCAAGCAACGGCTGAATCGATCTACAGAACAACCATATCACACACATCTATAACAACTGCTTCAGCAACAGGGTTTCAAGTAACCGAGGCCCATGCAGGAGCTACCATGCAAAAAGTTGCCTCCAGCATCGGTAGTCAGTCTACAGGCACACATGAGCACTCACGTGTGTGGCCTGACGGGCAAAAGAAGAAAAATCAGTTGTGGCCTGACCCTGACCGGCTTGGGTCTGTCTCTGCCTCAGCGAGCTGCGCAGCGAGCCTTCGATCTTCAAGATGATCCGGAAACCGTTCCCAGGTCCCAGGTTGCAAGCAGAAGGCGAGGTGAGGATGGCGACACCTCTGCAACACACCGAGAGCCGCGAACACTTCGAGACTTCAAATCCTTCCGATCCCCCGGCACCTGAAGACCTCCATGCATAGATGGCCAGGCCTGAAGAAGTCCCAGCTCCATAAAGAAACAAGCAGACCGGAACCATGACACCGACATGTCGCTCCAGGTACACTGCAGGTGCCCCGGTGGCAAACGTCGGCCAGCTTTGGCCGTGGGCCTCGCAATGCTGCAACCAAGTCAATTGTGCATCCGAAACGTCGGGGCCGCGGCCGCTGCAGGAATGGCCTTGAAGCTTCGCAAAGCAACGCACCCCCAGTGTTTCGATTCCATAATCGTCCGGTACGCGACCTCTGCCTGATGTCCGTATTGGAAAGAACATAGGATTGGAAAGGGAAACGAATTGACCTCAATATATCTTGACATGTCATCCTCGAAAACAAAGATTGGGACTCTAATCTTGTGCGCTCCATGCCGCGTCAACTTTCCCAAAACTCTGCGACCAGCATTTCGCAGCCCGTCGCAATTCTGTCCACATGAAAAATTTATCCGGCAGTTTCTGGCCATCCGAAGACACAACCGGCAAGAAGGAAAAACAAGTCGCTTCGACCTTGCTCTTTGGAGTGTGGGGTCTCACTGCTGATTTTTCCGTCGCACTTTGTTTATCTTTGGCTGCTTCCGGGATGGCCTGGCCTGTCCTGCCATTCTCGCCATCAAAATGAGCCACGGAGCCAAAAAAAAAGTAAGATTCTTTCGCTGTCACGTGCATGGTGCTCGAGTTTACCAGCCTTCGCAACTTGCAGTTTTGGCGGTACCTTTTGGGGCTCTTCCTTGGTGCCACAAGGGAAGTTTGGGAGGTTCATCGAGGTCCCCTCGTCGTCAGACCGTGACTTTCCAGAAACCGAGCCCTTGCCGTCGCATCTTCACGGGCATCTGAACCCTGATGGGACATGGCACCCTTTGGGTACAAGATTCTGGGACTTCTGGACAAAAAGAACTGTAAGTGGGAGGGGAAGTGTTCCCGGCAAATTAGAAACGTGCCTGCAGCAGGCTGGGATGCACTTCGTGCTTGTCAAGCGAGGAACTTCGGTAAGGAGTCTCAACTTGTAGCCGGAAGGCACAGGCAGCTTTTGACGAAAGTCCGAAGCGCGACCCTCACCGCAAGCGGTTTCACACTTCCTGTTACACACAATCTAATCTCACACATTCGAGCCAGTACAGCTAGGAAAGATAGTTACATCACATTCTTCTTTCTGCCAAAAAGCCTTGCTTGTCATCAAAATTCTCGGGAGAGAGAGAGAGAGCAAGTGAAGCTGATGCCATCACTGCGAGGTGCTGAGCGCCCCACTGACATCACTCACATTCTAAACATGCTTAACAGGCTTAACACGCCCGACTCCCGTGCTAAAGAGCTTGAGAGGCACAGTCGCCGAGAAAGCGCAATGCAACAAATCTGACACTGTGCAAATGTGTCATGCACGAGGCCAGCTGGGCGGCATCAATAAGCGGTGTGTCTCCATTTTGAGAGGTGAAGGAGACCGCGGCTCACATCAGTCCGCGAAGACCTGCCGTAACCCATGCAGTGCTCTCACACACACACACACACACACGCACACACACACACACGTCAACACTGACACACACACACACACACAATGCTAAAAGGCACGCTCAAGAGAACCTACACTCTAAATCAACTTCATGGCAATCTCTGCAGAAAATCCTGCCCTGCTAGCTGCATGCCTTCAGCACGATGGTGACTAGCGCGCATACCATCATGGGCAGGACAGACAAGTTGCCGGGCATAGTTAAGATCCTCGGCGACATGAAACCCATTCCAGAGAAGATGCAGCATGCATCACCAGTAGACTGATTCATTAATTTTCGTTAAGGCATTGAAGAGCTGTTGCTGGGTCTTGGTTGCAACTTAGTTCTCGAATAAACAGAATCGCACACCACGGGCAGTACTACTGCCCGTGTCCAACAAATTGTTCAGAACACAGCACGATGCCAGGATGTACTTCTCGATTTTCTGAAGTTGCTTGGAGCAGGCACGCAAGACGGGGGTCTGAGAAAGCGCGCAAAGTCTACTGAACGTGTGGAAGGACGCCCAAAAGAACGGAGTAGAGCAGATTCGGGGCTTGTTCAGTTTGGTCGAGCAGGCACGCAAATCCGAGCAACGTGCAACGAGGCTTCCTGAAGCCTGGTGAACACATCGACGGTGGGCCGGCTGCCAATCCGCTTTATTAGACGACTGGCAAGCAGCCAGTTAGAATCTGAGGCATTTGAAGCAGGAGAGGCCAGCGCACAAACAGCGATGCTGGGTGACTGCGTCACTGTCTTGTCTTGTGCTGACTGTTTACGTAACAACAAGCCCATGGCATGGACTCTTGAAAAAACTTCTCCTGTGCAACAACTGCAGATACAATGTCCAACTTCTACACATTTCTACACCCAACACCCACAGCTGTTACTGCAAAAGGTTTCTCTTGGGATCTCTTAGGTCACTGTGAGTCGCATAAGATGCACAAGCTGCAGTCGCGGCACCCGAGGGCGAGGGCCACGCTGAACCTTCCAGAGAACCATGCCGCATCATGGAACGCACGGTGGTGTTACTTACAGTACGAACAGTTCTGAAGACCAAAAGTGTCGCTGTTCGCTGCCTGCTGGGAACATGAGATTCGAAATTTGGTGCTGAAGGATACCGGCCCGCAAATCGCAGTGACGAAGCCGTGTCAACTTGGTGCATGCGAGAGACATCATCATCGACTTTGCCGTCTCCTCATCCTGATCACCTTGTACATGCAATGTATTCCGTCTTCATGCAGCTAAAGAGACGGGATGCTTTGGGCAAGACCGGGCTGTCTTAGACACACTTGCAAACAGTACTGCAGCTGCAACCGATCTGTAAATAGCATGGAGTGACGTGTCCATGGAATACGAGGACATCCCACCAGAGCACACAACACACTCCCGAGGACAAACCACTCTACTCAACGTCCACCGAACATCCGTACTCATGCACTCCCATTACTCGCGGCGCGGCGAACGTACCGGGTGTGGAAAACGAGCGTTGTGCAAGCATGGAAAAGAAGATTCGAGTCTCGCTTTTGTTGTGTGACAAGAGAACGCAGAAGAGCAGCTTAAATGAACATCTTGCCAGAATCGAGTGGCGGAGCAGCTCTTGTCTGTGTATGCGAACACAGAGCCACAGCGACTGTGGAAGCACAAAAACGGTCGCAGCCACGCCATGGCACCTTAAACATGATGGGGAGAAGGCACATGCGCATTTGGGACATGACATCAGCAACTTTGACATTTATTGCATCACACCTTGCAGCTGTGCACCCGAATGTCACGCCCAAAAGGAGTGCAAGAGCGTGGGCTCCCATCAGCAGGCCATAGTAGTAAACCAGCGACGCCTGTCAGGAGCAACGATGCTTCACCCTGCAACTCAAAAAACCGGCCTACTCAACATTGATTTTTTGCGTATCCTGAGTCAATGGAAGCAAGCCACGGCACGCCACGGCCAGATGCCCTAAATGGTGCAATGCCTCAGAACTGCTACCAAGGTAATCTGAGTGTGCGCTCCAACTCGGTGGAGAACTCCTTGGGCTCCCTTTTTTGGGAGCAATGGGACTGCCGGGGCTGGAAATGCCGAGTGTGCACAACCAACATCCTGAGATACGATAGTCACATGACGGTCTTGAAGAATTTCCGTGCATTTACACAGATGTTGAAGCGCTCCACCAGATGCGCTGCCAAAAACAAGAAGCGGGAAACGGCATTTGAGATACAGAGCAAGAGCGGGGTGGTTGAATGGTGCAACTCCTGGGGCAATCCCAACTTAAGCACAGAATGGTCGGATGACAGGTCGTAACAGGATGGAGATGAATCTTGAAGCCAGCTTCGTCATGAGGAGCTACACACACACACACATCTCGCGTATGCTCACATGCCCGGTTTTGAAAGCTTGCATGTGCATTTTGAAGCCGTTCGTTAAAGCAAGCTTGCCCCGCGTAAAAGCGCCGGCCACGAAATCGGACTGCAGCCGCAGCATACCAGAAGTCAACGTAGAAGCCCCAGAAATTCAGAAACGGAAAGCAAATCCGTGACTATTTCGGTTCAACAACGCAAAACCAAGCCTCCGTGCCTTGGGGCCCAGCAGTATGGCCACAGTTCTCGAGCCTTGCGAAACTATAAACTTCCACAAGCAGCAAGATGCAAAGAAGAGCATCCCATCTCTGCGCAACTGATTCGATCTGTCCGACGGTGTGCGATTTCTAGGCATGCGAAGCTGCTTTGCAGGTTCGGCATAATCAAACGGGCATGTCGCCAGTGCCATCAAAACTGGAAGGCAAAGCGTCAGCAACAGCACTGCGCAGTGCGCACTGCAGCGCAGCATCGTGCGGAAAAGCCGACAGAGCCCAAGGCCCAAGGCCCGTCTGCGGCCCGTCTGCCTCTGACGTTAGGCAAGCCAGCATGATGAGTCACTTTGAATTATGTCTAGAGATGTTCTGCCATTTCAGAGGCACAAAGAGTGCAACTGCTGCAAGGTAAGCAGTACCACCAGCTAAGGGAAGTAGCCTGACTGGGGTTGCCCATGCACCACTTCTGCCAGCCGGTTCTGCAAATGGTGGAAAAAGCAGCACAGCACAGGTGCTGCTAATGAGCCAAGCGGATGTTGCCTTCCGCTTATTTCATTATCAAAGAATACTCACAGAGACGTCACCACGCCTGCTTGGGCCTCAGACAAGAAGATCTGCTAAACGCAGACGGACAGGCTCAACCTTTGTAGTCCAACATAACTTTTGGAACAGCGCTGCAGGCAAGCATCCCGGACAAGGTCCTGTACCAGGCTGTTGGGGCCAGTCCTCCGATGGGGGAAATCCACTTCCCATGTCGTCAAGTGACATGAACGATAGCCCACTTCAACAACGTCGCTGTGCACTAAAAAAGCTGCCTCTTGCATTTGGAAAGTGGGTCCTCCACGAATCCCCCGGTACGGGTTGCGCCGCTTATCGTCAATGTAGTCACGCCAATGGGAAAGCGATCCAGAGCCGTTCCTCGAGTGCTACGCTCTTTGGCCACAGGGCTGCTCGAACGCTGGAGTTCACATGAGATGTAACACGGATCCATGGCTTGAGCACCTGCCTGGGACTCGAGTGCTCTACTTCACACAAGTGATACGAGGCAGTGAAGGAGCAGAGTCTCCCTTGCTGAGAGATGCACATGCGATTTCTTCAGTGTCGCTTGGGTGGCAGCAACATTGATGAGTCAAGCTGGGCCCAGACGGCCGGATGGGTGTCTGACTAAGCATCAAGGTGTTCTTCACCACCCGACGTGAAGGAAGTGGCACTAACGTCATGTCACGGCCCAGTTGCCGTAACGAGTCGCCGAAGCAGACAGGAGCGGCTTAATGGCCCTCTCCCTGCTGATTAACCGTCAACTAAAGCATAGGATCCTCGGCCACAAATGCCTTCTTCTGATCCTGTCCCACCCCTCGTTTGGCCATGGGATGCACCACTTCCGTTTGCTACCGTGGCATCAAGTACCCCTGTACGAACCCGGAAGACTTGCGCAAGCTAAGCAGCAAGTTCTCGCCTGATGGCACCTAAGCATGTGCAGGCATGTGCCGGGCCTATGCTCTGCTCCGAGCTCCGCCTCTCTTTCGCTGAGTCTCTGGCGGGTGGTCGCGGGTGCAGGGCACTTGGACGAATCAGCGCCAAGGTCTCTTCTCGGCTAGGCCTGCAAGGCTCCCGCATGCTCCCGCCATGCACAATGACCGGCCGTGCGACCAGGGGCCCTGCAAGCGCCGGAGATCCGGGCAGCTAATCTTGGCTGCGAAGATGTGACCAGCAATGACAAGATATGACAAGGAGATACTCCTAGAGCATACGTACCGCATATCGCTCAAACCTGCGACGTTTCAATGTTTACTTGTGGCAGCCCTTTTGCCGTTTAGCTCCTTGTTCGCAAACCGTCTCTGCAGCTGCGTCGCTGCAGACGGACTTCGTGGCTCCGAGGCGGTGTTACTGCCGACTGAGCCGCTCGAAAATTTGGACCTTAGCGTTCTTGCAGGGATCAGCATCTCCTTAAGCTGCCAGCTAAGCTCCTGTCCCCTGCCAGCTGTCAGCAAATGTTCTGAGGTCACCGCTTGAAGAGGCGCTTCGGTTTGGGTACCTGTCCACGCAAGCTTTCCCAATGTCAGCGATAACCGTGCAGGCGCGCAAAGAAACGAACGGCTCAAACGAAGATCTCGAACTGTGTTACACTGTCGGAAAGCCTAGCTTACAGTCATTTCGAGTCAACGCAAAACCACACCCACCTTCGTCTCCAGCTGGCCAGGATCACTCTTGGGTGTATCATCCCATCCAAGACCTTGCCGTGTCTTGGATTGCGGTCACTGTGCCAGCATCATGCCGCCAGGCTGAAGACAAGAAATAACTCTCTGACTGCACGTGCCAGTGGCTTTGGAGCCTTGCTTGCTACGACAATTTCTGCCTGCTTCTGCCTCTACTCGACAAACATGTGAGAATGCTGGGAGGCCGAAACCCGCAGAGGAGTGACGCAGACGAATGGGCTAGTACCTAGTGCGAGTCCTAACCCCGAACTGCTCCAGAGCTAAAGGCCGTAAACCGATTGATGATTTTCCTCGTCTGAGCCTACTACCACCTCTGCTACTGCTGCTACTACTACTACTACTTCATCTACTACTACTACTACTACTACTACTACTACTACTACTACTAGCCTCTGAGGCTTGAAGCCACTTAAAGCAGCTGGCTTTCGCTTGTCTTCGGAGGCGACCTGGTATTTTGCCGCAGCTCTTCGCGTTCACGGTTTACTACCTATCACGCGCCTTGGCCACGCCGGGCTCAACAGCTGCATGGGAATGGCACATGTTCCAATCCTTTCATCCATCATCCATCCCAATTTATCTGCCATCCTGGCCAAAGGCATCCGACACGATTACATGTTGAATCGACAGCCACATACATCATAGCAGAAAGCTAGCACGGGGGTTCATTCCGAAGAACTCCGTTAGAGGTTGCACGGCTCGACACTCAAGAGTTCGGTTCACGTTGTTGTCACATGAGGCTTTTAGAAGCGGTTACCAAACCAGTGTGGCAACACTATTTCTACGCCAGGAGCCAAGAGGTATTGGTCAGTGTGATCGCGAGACACTCGGCCTGTTCTTCCTCTCTTGCCAGACAAGGCGAGGTACGACTGGCGGTTTCGGGATGATGGCTTCTAAATGCTAGAAGTCTGTAAAACTTCAGCAGGGCCACACTATGATGCTCTCCTAGGGGTTTTGCTTTCGGCCAGTGCATCCTTTTTCCCCCCTCAGTCCCATGCGCTTCCGCCCTGAAAATCGTGTTCCTGCCTACTCTTTTGCGACAGTGGCTCACGCATTTTGGGGTCGGACTGTGTTCTCCCTCTGTGCCGGAACTTCCGGGTGCCCAAAGTTGCACACGCATTCCTTGCGTGGAGCGTAGTCCCACTCGCGCCTTTCATCAGCTTCATTTTCCCTTGGTCGTGGTGGTGCTTGGTGGTCTTCCTCGTCACGGTGCTCCTGCGTCGTCGCGGTCATCCTGGCGGCCCTGGTGGTGGCCGTTTTCGTTGTGGTCGCGACCCGGTTTTTTTTGGGGCCGTGATGTCCCACACAGTGTGGTTCCCACTATGGCTATCGAGGAGATTCGAGGAGACAGAGTTGGCCAGCATCCCCGCGCCATATCCTGCGCACAACGTTCATCGGCATGCTTCTCCCGCAGTGGCGTGGTGTCTATTTTGCGCTTTGTCCTTGTGCTTTTCAGGGGGTCTGTGTGGCCGTGTCTCGCAGAAAGCCAGATTACAGTACAGGAAAAACCATTTTGCCAGTCCTTGTGAATCGCGCCAGTACTTGAGGGAAGCATTTTGGCTGTGCTCCGGAATACTCCTGAATCTCGCCACAACGTGGGGAAAGCATGTTGCAGTGCTCCCGAATCCTCCAGTAATTTGGGGGGAGGTTTGCTGCCGTCCACGTGAATTTGGGGGACGGCACTTGGGCTGTGTCCTGATGGTCTGAGGGTGGTCTGCTCGTGGAGTCCTGGGCGTCTGGTGGTCCGCGCCATGGTCGGCTCGCGCTCTTTCGCTGTGGTGAACTGAGCTGCACGACTCGATCGAGAGAGAGGAGCTAGACGCGCAACGTCGCATCCCGGGCCGAGTCCAGCCTTGCCTGAGCTTACTGAGCTGCTCAGCTTAGTCCGGTACGGCATTCGAACTTCGTGGATCGTCCAGGGACTGAGGGCACAAACCTGCACGGGTAGGTCAAAGTTCACTGGTTCTGTGCAAAGAAGATGCTTGCAAGACAGGTTGACAGTATTCCATGTCCTCGCAGTGGCGACGTCGGCTGAGTAGATGTAGCTCGACGGATCCATGCGCATGGGATGCATGTTCGACAGGCTTGTTAAGTTTGCTTGTGGAGGCTGTTGAATGACGTGGTGTGAAGATATGTCTAAGCGTTGTCTGTTCCTGCAATGCACTGAGTGATCCCAAGCGGCCTCATCGCTCCAACACCCGTGAACAACAACCAAACATGCCGCTTCAAACCGGCACATTTCACCTCCTCGTCTGTCCACTTCCATATCTCTGTAGTTGTTTGCATGCAAGATGCCGACGACCTGAGAAGCAGCATGAGGCGAAGGGCTTACACCACTGCAAAGCCGAGGCTTGCGCATACAAAGATGCCTCATCCAGATTGAATGCGATTTGCCAGCCAGAGCACGTAATGCCTCAAGGGGGTCATGTAAGAGCTGGACCGGAACGGTCATTAGCAGAGCTGGCCACCTGAAGCGACAACTGCATTCAAGCTTCCGTGTTCGCCCTCCCTGCTGAAAGACAGTTATACTTGGCAGGTGGCTAAATTTGGTACCTAGAAGGGCTTACAGAGTGGTGGCCTGCTTCAATGCCTTAGAGGAAGACTTGTTAGCAGGCTACAAAGAAAGCGATCAAAAAGGACCGCCAAGTAGATCGGCAGTCTCTGTCAAAAGCATTTCCCTACACAGTAAGAATGGTGCAACTGTGACCGGCCATGAGAACCCCATGTCACACAAGCGATCGGGTCGACATCGCGGAGTCGCTAGTTAACGGCTGGCAGACTTCCATGAGGTGTTTCCTGCGCTGCTTGGACTGCTGCCTGGTCATAAAGATACCCAGAACACCGATACTCAAAATTTGGAACTTCCCATGCATTCGGCGTGGATGCGAGGTGCATCCGTGACACCGCTCAATGCAGCGGCACATGTTCGGGCATTAAACAGTCTGTGGCAGGACTGATGCGCAACAGGCGTCACACCTCAGCAAAAAAACGCGGTGGTCACTTCCACGATGTGATGTTAACCGGTTCAGACAGCATGCCATGCCCGTCTGGCGAATCGGAGTGATGCAAATCATGCGCATGGCCGACACAGCATCGATTCCATGGTCCGGGTTGTGGAAACTTGTCTAACTCAACATCCGGGCTCAGCAAACCGCAAATGGCAACAAACACTTTCAGATGTCGGTAGAGAAGTTTGCCACGGGAGCACACGATGCGCAAACGAAAAACAATGTCCAAAAATGCAAGACGAACGGCAGCATTTAGCATAGCCAAGTAGTCCCTGACGTTCCATGACTCTTCCCGTTGCGCAGCAACCCAAACACTGCAACTGATCGCTGCAGTGCCGATGCTTGCTATGCAGACAAGTCACCTGTCACCAAAGCAATCGAGTTGCAAACATGCTGGCTAGACTGGGCCTCCCGACACAACTCTGCCCACCAGAACGACGGAGCAGTAGGAAACAACTCCCGGCCCAAAGCAAACAAATACCTCAGGAGCTTAAGCTCACAGTTGCATAGTCGTCATGCGAGAACAAACAAGAACAAGACAACAAATGTTTGCTTGCCGGCGACAGTCAGATCACCCAAGCCAATGTATTTGAGAGGGGCAGGACCAGCGGTGTAGCCAATGGCCTGAGTTCGATGCCGGCATCAACGTCATCAACTGGGACAGCAATGCCAAGTGCAAAAGACAACACAAGGCCCGAACTAGCAAAGTGCCTGTGGTCGCCCAGGCCAGTACTGGCGACTGCAAGATGTGCTTCAACGACCCACTAGACCGCACTCGACTGCCCTGCAAGGGCCCTTCACCGTTCAGACTTGCAACAGTTGAATCGCTGCGTTTGAGGCCAGGATATTTCTCGAACTAACAGCATAAAAGGCAGCTGCGAAAACTAAACCTGTCAAGGAATAATCAAACCGCTCTGGACGAGCCAAGAAAACCACATTGACATGGCACAAGACTGTCTACCCATGTCTACTCAAAGATGCTTCACGTGACCGTTGCAAATGACACCACGCAAAGGTCTGGTGACCTGTGTAGTTGAAGCCAGTGGCCACAACTGACCAGGAAAAGAAGGACAGCCTGCCCATGCCATAAAAAATGAAGAACCGGCTTTGCAGGCATCACATGCGCGACAACACGCGGAAGCATGGCCACGAAAGCAATGTTGTCGTGGCCAGCACCTGCGGCAATGCTTCATCTACACCATGAAACACGAGCTTCGTTCAAACTGGCCGTTCCTGGTGGTCCCTGGTAGTCTCCTGTTGGTAGCGTTTCCCTGGGCCTGGTGGATGTAGTCCGGGTCATCGTTGGTGGTCGTCGTGGTCGTGGCAGTTGTGGTGGTCATGGTGGTCGTGCTTGTCTTGGTCGTCGTGGTCGTCGTGGTCGCAGTCGTCATGGTCGCTAGGGTTTGAAGATATTGTTCGGGGTGTCCGTGAAACAGTGTGATCATGCCAGAAAAAAGCTTGCCCCAACCCAATTTCGAGTTTTCGCCGAAAGCCCTCCCAAATCCCAAGGTCGAGTTCGCAAAGTCCAGAAGTAGGTTTGGTGAGTATATAAGATGTTCCGACATCACGAAAGTATTATAAATACCGAGTAACTTCTGGAGATTTTGTTCGGGGTGTCTGCGTAACAGTGTCGTCATCATCCCCCCCTCTCCCCCCACCTCGCCCCCCAAAAAGCATCAAAGAGTAAGTCCAAAATCCGAAGCTCGAGTTTGCAAACTCGACAAGTCGATTTTGAGGCTTCATAAATGGTCCTACATGACGAAAGTGCTGCGAATTCTCGCTGCAAGTGGAAGGACTAAATACTAACAACCAAACAAGGCACAGCAATGGGGCCCTTTAAATTTATGAAAACCGACCCTGGCATATGC